ATATCAAATTCATGCCCAATCTGCTTTGTAAATATTCCAATTATTATCATGCTATCCATGGCGTCAATTAAAGTTAATTCATAGGACATCTTCCTAACAGATAGAGACCAAGATTAAGAAAAATTACACAAAAAAGGAAAAAATAATTTTTTTAGAAAGTCAGTGTTTGACCCGAAACAAATTTGTAGAGGCCAAGAATATTTAAACTATTAATGCAAAAGTTTCATCCTCACGTGGGATAATCTCAAAAAATTCAAAGGAGTTTCTGAAATTATGATTGAGATCACGTGGGATTTTTGCAAGCAAATCAAATATCTCTAGGTAGATGAATAATTAACAACTAATTAATGTCTAAGAGCATCCACAATCATGCTCTCTATTTTTAGTTAAATTTTAGCTAAAAACATAAAAAAGTTATTTTAAGAGCTCTCTATAAAATTTAAACTTCAATCTTGCTCTCTAGTTTAGGGAGTCATAAATGCTATAACTCTTTTTTAATTGGTCCATCTCTATTAAAAAATAATATTAACATTAATTAAAGGTTTGAAATACTCATTAAATAACGCAACATTAAATTATAGGGAGCCACTAGGAGTCCTTTCTCTCTCCTCAGATTTAGGAGCTCCTAGAGGTCTCCCTTTTTTAGGAGGTGGATAGGGAGCATGGTTGGAGTTGTATTTTTCCAAATCCTCCCTAAAATTTGTCTAAGGAGGTGGTTTAGGGAGCCCATTGTGGATGCTCATTCAAAGGAGTATTTGACTGCCACACGCTTTGAGCAGTAAACATTATACCAAGAAGGATGTCTAAACTCGGCCATATGGTTGTGATGTATATATACTTGCACGAAGCATACACAATAAATTCTCCAAAGGCCTTTAATTCTATGCAAGAAAATTACCGAACTGCTCTATTCTTTTTCCTCTCCTCTCTTGAAAAAACTATAGATCCCACATTGGAAAAATATAATAAGTGTTATGCACTTAATATTGTTAACTCCTAAAACTTTGTTTGACAAGCTTAATAATGTGAGCTTGTGACCCAACATGGGGGCATTAAAGGTGGAATTTGGAACTTAGTGTAAAACATGGACAACCTATGGCACAGTGCTCTCGGCACGGTTGCTCATGGGCTACTCTACAGTGGCAACCATGGTGGCTTATCAGAGCAGCTATCGATCACGCTAGGCCTAGGTTCGCTCTTCACCTGACCGCCACCTTTTTTAGTTTTTTGCGATTTTCCATAACCTGTACAGATTTAATTCAAAACCTATACATTTACTTCTGTCAATCTCTCCAGTAGGCAGCCAATCCACTTTTGCTTTGCTTATTAATTTGAAATAAAATGTTTGGGGAGCAGTCCAATTCATAAAGTCTGCTAGCTACGAACCATTTTTCAACATCATGGAAGCATAACGCAATTGCACATGATCATTGAAAAATACAGATTGCAAATATTGCCTGCTACTTGCTTAATAATCATGCCAAGGACCTGAAAAATAATATGAACTTGATCAGCATATAATTGAGTTTATGCATTAAGGTTAAGCATTTTAGTTTATTGAACTCTTTCCAATATGTTAGTTATGAGCTAAATTAATGAGTTCATCAGTTGGGATCCAATTCAAATCATGTTACCCTTCTCACTGATATGATTGAAGAGGATGAGATTCCATGCCCCCCTCCTCAACCAACACTATATATTAAGCAAACACAATGGAAAAGATATCACATTAACCACTTCTTTCAAGGTCTTCTATTATATCTTCTCAAAATACACAACAAGAAGAAATGGCTTGCCACACTCGCTCCAACAGCTTCAACTCAAGGCCACACCCGATCGTTCAAGAAGTTGATGAACATTTGTGTAGATTGAGATCTTCTGAGGCCACCTCCACATCCTCCTCATCAATCAGCCACGAACTAAGTGGCCTCCAAGACTTGCATGGCTCTGTTGATAGGTTGCTTCAGTTGCCCCTCACTCAACAAGCCTTGGCACAAGAGCAGAATGAAAAATAGAAAATAATGAGCTATTAGATGGCTCTCTCAGGCTATTGGATGTTTGTAACGTGCCAAGGATGCCCTGTTGCAAACCAAGGAATGCGTACAGGACCTTCAACCAATCATGCGAAGAACGCGAGGAGGTGAATCTGGAGCACTCACCAGGTCAGGAAATACTTGACCTCAAGGAAGATGGTGAAGAAGGCAATCCACAAGGCTATGGGAAATCTCATGGGATCAATGAGACTATTTCCATTGTTAGCAAGTTGAGAGATGTTGAAGCAGTCACTTTCGCGGTGTTTGTATCCCTTCTTTCCTTCATCTCAGGGCCAAAATCACAGCCAAGCAGCTGGTCATTGGTCTCCAAGATGATGCAGTCAAAAACAGTAGCTTGTGAGGAAGAAACAAAAGTATGAGTTTTCAAAGGTGGATGCTGCATTGAAATCACTTATTGGACACAAGAGAAGCAAATCTCATCCCCAAAGCCATCTTGACAATCTGGAGTCATGCATTCAATATCATGAAGAACAACTTGAGTGCTTATTTAGGCAACTCATCAAAACCAGAGTCTTTCTTCTCAACATCTTAAACCATTAGATATTAGCTTTTCAATTTTGTATATGAAAAGCAATACATGACACTGTCTTACATTCTCCATTTTATTATAGAACAGTTTCTTCTCACAACACACAAAGAAGAAATGGCTTTCCACACTCGCTCTAACAGCTTCCCTTCAAGGCCACACCCGATCGTTCAAGAAGTTGATGAACATTTGTGTAGATGGAGGTCTTCTGAGGCCACCTGTACATCATCAACATCAATCAGCCACAAACTAACTGGCCTTCAAGACTTGCATAATTATGTTGATAGGTTGCTTCAGTTGCCCCTCACTCAACAAGGCTTGGCCCAAGAGCAGAATGAGAAATCGACTAATGAGCTATTAGATGGTTCTCTCAGGCTCTTGGATGTTTGTAGCAGTACCAAGGATGCCTTGTTGCAAACCAAGGAATGCGTACAGGACCTTCAATCGATCATGCGAAGAAGGCGAGGAGGTGAATCTGAAGCACTCACAACTGAGGTCAGGAAATACTTGACCTCAAGGAAGATGGTTAAGAAGGCAATCCACAAGGATATGGTAAATCTAAAGGTATCTAGTTTCTCATCCCCTTGAGCAATTATGGTCACCTGAAAGGCTATCTCATAAAAAGCATTGAATGGAGTTGAATAAATGGCCTAGGCGGCCTAGGCGGGGCTAGGCGTGGCTAGGCGAGCTAGGCGGGCTAGGCGGGGGCTAGGGGGGCTAGGCGGTCTAGGTGGTCTAGGTGGGCGCTGGAGAGAGAGAGAGAGAGAGAGAGAAACGAGGATGATGATGGTGCTATGAGGCGAGAGAGATAGAAACGAGGATGACGATGGAGTTATGTTTAGGGTTTATACAAGGGCCGTGCGGCTATACTATTTATAAAAAATAAAAAATAAAAAATAAAAAGAACCCAGTAAAGCCGTTCGGCTAGACTGTTTTTAAAAAAAAAATCCCACATATCGCCGCGCAGCTATACTATGCGTTGAAAAAAAAAGAAGGAACGCATAGCGCCCAATCAAAAGGGTATAGCCGAGTTTAGGGTAAAAACCATCGGCGAGGTGAAATGAGAAGTGGCCAAAACCACACCCAAAGAAAATTTTTGCATACCAACTTGCGAGTGTCAAGCAGCTGGTTATTGGTTTCCAAGATTATTCACACCAAAAGAGTAGCTTGTGAGGAAGAAACAGAAGCAAATGAATTTGCCCAAGTGGACTGCTCTGCAGACTGCAATCATTCTTTAAGACAAGCAAATCTGACCACAAGAATGCAGACAACCAGCTTGACAATCTGGAGTCATGCATTCAAGATCAGGAAGAACAACTTGACTGCCTATTTAGGCAGTTGATTAAAACAAGAGTCACCCTCCTCAACATCCTAAACCACTAGATATATATATTAATATTAGCTTTGTCCGATTTTGTACATGAAAAACACACGTGTATATAAATCATCCTCTGGATACAAAATGATTACTCATTTGATTAATTGTCAATTATTATTATTCGCATTCGTTTTCGGAACCATTGAAACAAAAATTCTACCATTTCCATCTCTTATCATCTATCATCTATACTTGGTCTAATTACAAGAG